ACAATACATTTCATTTTAGATTCTTTCAAGAGTATTGAATTTGGGATTATTTTTTTTACGGGATTGAGTACATACAATCCTCATTTAGTCTCCAACTATACGATGAAATTGGAGTAATATCCCAGAAGCAAACATCACAATAAGTGGCCAGTCAATACAAATGCACAACGATAGGGAAATTCAAATTATTGATACATTAAAAACACGCTTGCATAATTCATGTAAGAGAAAGTAGTTCCGTTCGCAGTTCGCACCGTGTGTTTTGTTAATGACCACATGTTTTCTAATATAAACATTTGCATACGTGATCAATGACAATAACCGTATGACTGCAAGTTGTATAGTAAAGTTATTATCACACGAACGTATTGTATTACGAAATCATTTAGATCTTGTGTATAAACCACATATATTCATAGAAGTAAAATAAACTACACACGTTTATAAAATACTTGCGACCCGGTCCGACTTTGCACGGGTGCAATACTGATAGTAAATTTCTCCACTATTAGTTATTATCACACATGTAAACCTTCCTCTTCAATCACTCTACCAATAAAAAAATCGCATCAAACTCCGTTGCGCAGTTTTAAAGGTTTAAGCATACATATGGATATAGGAACAGAGAAAGCGACTTTGTTTTAGGCTACGTAGTGATTTTTTGGCTTCTTAATACTTATTTTAAGGATATTTTTTAGCGTTTACTGTTGTAACTACTTGATATAGAAGCCACAGTATGGTTAAACAAAGAAAAAACAAGACCGACTGCAACAAAGTCATCATAAACAATCATCTTATTGAAACATTAAAACAAACAAGTAAAGTTCACAAACCTACCATAAGCTTAGAACAAAGGGATTCTTATTATTCACTACGTTAAATCAAGAAATATCTTTGTACAAATAAAAGGTTACGAACCGACGCGGACTGACAAAAGCTTGATTAAAGACATCAAAAGAGTGACGCTCTCTTGCATTCTATTTAGATGCTACTCTCTTAGATAAACAAAATATCTCTTGGCAACTTCAATAACTTGATCCCTTGTTATACAAAACAGAGGTTAATTCAAAGTGTTGGGAATAATGGAAGAGGCAGGGAAGCGCATGCAATCGCCGTGTAGCTAAATTCGATTTTTAAACGACTCCTTTGTTCGTTTTTGATCGACTCAAAAAAGAGGTTATCAATTTAACCCTTACGCCTTACGATTGACTGTCGGAATTTCTTAAGTTACAATGTAATTTATTAAAAAAATGATGAATGAAAAATGAAAAACAGAATGTTCATCACATTCTTTCTGATATATAGTTTTAAACTAGTACAATTTCGCCTCAGCAACCTTTTGAGAGAAGTTTATGATAGAAGCTTAGTAAATACTCGTTATAATAACTATTCAACTGAATACCAGATTTGGTACAAATCTAATGGACTGGTAAATAGTTAAATACACAATCAAATACCTACAGAATTGTTTGTGTGCTAGTCAGGCTAATTCAACGGTACACTAACTTCGTTTTGTAGTAGTTTAATCGCAAATATTTGAACGAGAATGTGGAGTAGGTAAGTGGTATCATGTTCAGCGATAATTGCCATTGCGAAGTTAAATACAAGTTATTTTAATACTTTGCTGTTACGAAACAGAGATTCATTTGCTTTGGAGTAGTTGGGCTTATGTGAATTTTATGAATTACTATTTATAGTAGCTATAAAGTATGAAAGTCGAAACAAAACAGAACAGAATAATCCGTAAAAGTAGGTAGACAAAAAACGTTCAACGCAGAGACCGTAAATAAAATTGCACGCAGATTGTCGGGGACCCAAATTGCATAATATTCGGATGGCCGTCAGTTAAGCCAGTCACCGCACAGACTAGATAGAGCCGTGCTTCTGACACACAAAAGAAAAAAAAAACATTTCCCGCAAATGGTGGCGGATTTGGAAATTTATGTTCGTATAATCTGTAGTTACGTTTCACTTCGCTTTCATACCCGCAAATGTGGTCCCGTTGGCTTATTGTATATAAAAGGACCACCGCATTGAGGTCCTTTAAGGTCTGATTTAGTGGGACGATTTTTGTCGCATTGACCTACTTTTGGAAGAGATATCGCGAGACATTTGACTGTGGTGTGAGCATCGCCCCAATCAATCTAGAATACGTCAAATCACGTTTGAAATTTCGGCTGCACTAAAACATTCTGTTCATTAGTGAAAATTTTACCTTTATGAATTGGATTTTAATATTTAGTGTTCATTATATTTAAGTTCCATGGTGTAGTTTCGTGAAGTTTGTTTCGGGTCGTAGGCGGGATGTTCACCAGTGCGTTCATACGGAAGACTTGTCTATGTCACTTTAGTTTATTATTGTTCATACAGCCTGTCCAACCTCTATAGACAGTCATTGTTTATGGCAGCTTTCGTGCTGTAATAACAATTTAATTTAACGCCAATCGCCATGCGTAGGTGGAAAGCTTTCATCAAATTAAACAACAAAAAGAAAGAACATTCATCAAACGATAATATTATTATTCATTAATTTTATTGGGTAGATATTACATGCCGAAATTGTTATTTTCGGACATGACTTAATACTCTGTGGTCCTACTATAAAAAATATATCAGGTACCTAGATCATAAAATTGGGTGTTTTTTTGTTATTTTAATTACCTAATTAGGTACTATGAAATATCTACAACAAGCTCCGCCACTTATTCTTCTCTTACAAATGACTTATTTGTAAAACACAAAAATAGACTAGGTATGTAATTAGTACTATATAAAAAAGAGAGTAAGCCCAGTAAAGAATGTTGGCTGACACCAAACTTTTTTAACTTAAAACTAAAGTTTATTAAATTACCCAATTAATTATTAAGTTCCCAAGCATTAGTTTAGTTAGAAAGTTATAAATTTGTTCAACAGATTTAGTTGTCTACAAATAAAATTGTTGTTTAAGGTTTGGAGCTGATATGTGTCTATCCATGTAAAATTTTATGTTTGTATTACATACACAACCATAACACAAGCAAATTGTAGTTTACAGCTAAAACTACATATATTTTTCATTTAAATATAAGAGTAGGTTGTTCACTGGCCTAATGTTTCTAACAATTTTTTTTAGGCAACCAGGTACCTAAAGTCCGAAACATAGGGAAATCTATTTTTAATTTTTTTAGAAAATTATGAGCATATTTAATTATTATTTTTACAAAATGCAATTCCTATGTTCATTACTTATATTTAATAATTAATGTTATAGGATTTTTATATAATAAGGTTGTACAATGTACATTTAATAATCATAGTTGGTTGTACAATGTTGAGATTACAATAAAAGTATTGTTACAAGATAAAATATTATTCTAACTTTATAATAATTATACTATAAAGAAAGTACTTAAGTAGGTGCCCACTTACTTCATATTTTCTTTCTGCTCTTGAATGAATTTATTTAATGGTTTTTATTCTTCATTTACTTACTTATTTAAGTTGGACTCCTTAGGAAGTAATTGAAAATTCAAGTCATTTTTAGTAGGTAAATTAAAAGTATTTGTTGTCAAGTACAGTGGTTAGAATAAATGAATTTTTAGTAATGGTATTGTAGAAAAGTCCATCCTTTCCTAACTAAAATGTTTGTTTATCACTCAGATTACATGTTATAGTTATAGTAAGGCTAACATTTAAAATATATGTGATACCTAAGTCGTAAATATCAATTGGATATTTCTACTAAAACTCAGTATAAAAGGATAAATAGGATAGTAAAATTATTTAGTTACCTGAAAAATAATTAGGATATCAACATCTCAAACTTAATTTAATAATTAATATTCAACATAAGTTTTTTTTCTCTGTCTACTTCTTATATATATATATATATTATATATCTATGTCAACTTTTATATCGGTTGAAACTTATAATTTGCCTCATTAATGTTATTTACAACCAAACTATACTGTACTTGATCAGCAGTGAGTTTTCCTAAAACTTGTAAAATAAAGTAAAATATAATAAAATTTCTGGTATGGATTCAGTACAAATTTATTGCACTAGATATTTTTTTCCTAATATTGTGATTGACCTCTTATGTATGTATATCGAACAAAAGGTTTTACCAGGTGAATCAATAAAGAAATTTCACACTTCACACAGCTTAGCATTTATTTTCATGCAAGTAAATGTGTAATAAAAAGTTTCAGGTCATTCAATTGAAGATATTTATTTCAAAATTTTGTTGCAAATACTAGTACACTTTACAACCCTACTTAATATGTTGCAGATCCTATATTTAGGATTAGGATAATTTACTAAGCAAATATTACTAAAATTGTATTAATTTTAGAGCAGGTCAAGGTTGCCATGAATAGGGAAAACCAAAGTATATAAAATAAAACTAATTGTATTCATAAATTATAGTAATATGCTTTTATGTTTTCTTATTTGATTTTAAAACAAAAAGTTTGCCCTACACTTAGATTTTCTCTAAATAATATGCCTACATAAAAAGTGTTTATTTGATTGATATAATTTAAGATTTTAGTATTGAGTTTTAACAATAGAATGTATCAATTTCAACTCATTTCTCTAGGACAAAACCTAAATTTATTTAATATATTTTTTTAGCTGGTGGGTAGACCTTACATTAAAGATATACAGAGAAATATCCAATAATAAACTTTAAAATTAAGGTCAGAGGAAGTTTTGTTGAGTATTAAAAAATCTTATAAGAATTCTCTCAGACTCATCAACATCTGTAAAGTGGGTCAATTTACCAAAATATAATTTGTTCTTAAAATATTATATTTAAATCTAAATAAAGAGACAGTGTTCGGAAATTGAAAATAGCTCCAAACATAACCAGCACCTACATCCTGCAGTATTCTATAAACTGCTCATGTAATCGTTGTAAACGCTCGTCACAAACAAGAGAAAGGACCGAGTTTAGAAACAAAAAAATATGACCTTTACGGCCGAAAATGCTTGGAAACGTAGCCAACTCACAACATACCTTATCTCCTGGTATGTTTTTCGACGACATGGTGTGTCACCTTTCTGTTCTGTGTTCTGACGTCGTCTTGGGGACGATTTATCCAGAGGAAGGATCTCACAGTAGCCGTGAGAGCCCAGCATACGACACAAAACACTCCACTTTACCAATCACTTGGCCATTATCACTGATCGAAAGATGCATTAAAGCCACAAACATAATAATCGACCCATCGTTTGGAGTCGCAATCAGCACGATTTCCCATTGAGATTCATCGACACAAATAATTTTTCACAACACTATACACAAACACAGCGACTGACAGAAGCTAACTTGATTGAGTTGAGCTTGACGGAAAATGGCGAGGGATGGATATCGTCCCTCCCGTCCCACCTCTCGCCCCGCGCATGCCATCTATGTCACAACGAGTTCCAACAATTTTTGTAGAGGGCACCTCTATACAATAACAAACAATGTCCTTGAACAACTTATAAAATTTTATCAATAGATGGCGCAGTTAGTACTATTTATTTTGCTATAGGGAATGGAGATTTAATGTGGTAATCAATTATTTGGCACCTCAGATAAAATAATAGCAAAATTTGTACATATTTATGAGATGACAAGTATTTATTCCAATAAAAATTTGTTGCGGAAATAATTCGGTCCAATGTGATTTGGATCTGGTAGCCACTTACAGTGCCATCTATTTTACATTAAGTAGAAACCTGACCAAAGACAAAACGATGAAGTGCTGATGATGCTCGACTGTTGAACTATCGTAATTCGTAATCGACTCTTGAATCGAATTCTTGGTGATACTACATTTAAATTGATTTCCATATTTTCCAACTCACGTTAAAATAAATATATATGTGTAGGCACACTCCACTTTCTATATCGTAGCCAATCGCAAAGAAATGTGAACCAAACAATTAGTAATATAATCTATACTAATATTATTATTTAATTATATAAAATTTATTTATAGAGGTACCTATTTGTAAGTTTGCGATGTAGGTATATAGGAGGTAATCTTTGGAACCGCTGGTAAGATTGCCAAAATGCTTGTAATGATAGATAGTTACAATTTTCTTGAGTATAATACTACGATCAAATGGAGCCGAACAGCGGGTGAAACCGCGAAAATCCAAAAAAACCTTACAAATGTTAATGAACCTTCCTAGAATTAAATAAAATATTTAAACATATTCATTGAATAATGGTTCTAGCCTGAAATATCCGTTAAAATGTATTATTTATATGTTAAATTGTGCCATTTTTAATTTATCTATTCATAAATATTATATCATTTTATTATCATTCATTCTTAAATTTCGCTTTCTGATGGGGTAAGACTTTGCTTGTAAATAAAGCTACAACACTAGCTTCCGCTTTGAACCATAGACTTTTAGTACATACTACATCCATAAACATACATAGATGCCAGCGAGTCTGGCTCGCGCAGACGCGCCAGTGATATACCTAGTGTATTTTATTCTTCTGATTTCGCAAAATGGCGGATGGAGGCGTGGATATAGATTTGTATGCTGATGATATCGAGGCAGATTTTAATCGTCAGGTGAGCAAGATTCATTGGAAATAATAATTGTATTCACATGATATGTTGTAATTACCGATTTGCGGCTTGTTTTTGCTTTCAATACTGTGTAATGTGTATCGTGTTATTGAATTTGTTTGGGCGGTCTCCTTCAGGACGAGTTCGGCGGTGAAAATGTGGATTTATATGACGACGTGATCGCCGCGCCACCCAACAAACCGGACGATGTGGATGGACCCCCAAACGCGGCACCCCAGCACCAGCATCCACCGGAGGAGACCAACGGGAGCGTGAATTATCACAACAACGCATCAAACCACGGCCATCATGGCCGCCGTTTTCAGCTATACGTCGGCAACCTAACTTGGGTTTGTACATGATTTTGTCTAATTTAGATTATAATGTAAATATAGGAGTTTTATTGTTTTGGATATCTTTTTTTCTCTTGGTAACGAGAAAGAAAGATGTCGATAGAGCTGCCGTTCGCCACTCAGGTTTTGTTATCAAGCCGTTTAGATAATAATCAATGTTTTACATAAGCTACTGTAATGATGTCGAATATTAGTTGCAAATAATTCGTTCAGGGTCGAGTTTGAACTAAGTAAATTATATTCATAGCCAAACCACATATTTTTCAAGTATGTACTTAGATCAAACTCTTAAGACTATAGATCAGGATGCTATTTACAATCTTCTGAATAGATGTTGGGATTGTCTAAAAAATGTTTCTTATGTTGTATATCAATAAAATATAAAGCATTTTTAATGATTCCTTGTTACTAATTTGTATGTGATATAATTATACAATAGGTTTCTTTGAATATTCTTTAATCAAAATTTTGTTGTCATTATTTTGTTAACACTTCAACATTTTGTAATCTACAAATTCAATAACATAATACAACATCTGCTGCATTATGTAGTAAATGTGATCTAATCCCAAGACATGTCAATAATTCTCTAGATACAATGGCAAAGATATCAAAGTCTGAGGAAGAAAAATGGCAGTTCTCATAGGCAATCAGATGAAGAAGCTAGGAACCTGCAATTGTATGCCATGTATTGTATGCAATAGTATATGAATGAAAAATGGAAGTTTAGTACAAATTCAGAAGTTATATAAATCGGCTACAAGTGATAGGTTCTATAATTTTTCATTTGGTTGCTACATTCCTTATCTAGTCAATGTGCATCTGTGTATAAACAGCAACTGCACAGCCGCACATGTGAGTCACTGGCCTTATTTTTAACTAAACTTCAAAATATTCTTTAAAAATTGAAATTTCATTTTTAATAAGGCCTGAAATTATTTGTTTGGCTAAATATCTTACTAAAATGAAATCAATAGTATAGCAAAATCTGGGACTGGGTATTAGTGAGTGGTTCCTAATGGTGGCTATAAATGCTATGAGAAATTGTTATGATCTGGTTACAGTTTAAACAGTAAGAAAACATAAAGTCATTACAATGTAGGGATGTTAATACTATTGTTGCGCTGCAACATGCCACATGTTAGATTCGTGCAGGGAGAGATATTCCTGTTTTTTCTGGGTCTGCCTGTGTATGTGAATTCTAACATAAATGCATCTACAACATGAGAAAATCATTGTGTTCTGATCTTAAAAATCGTAGATATACAGATCAAATTTGTTTAGCATCAAAAACCATCATTATGGTCACTCTCATTTAATTTTACCTAAATTCTACTTGTATATTTTATATCATTTGATTTTGCTATACTTAATATTAGAAGCAAAAACAAGAAGTGTAATTATTGATGAATTAATTTAAGTATTATAACAATTGTCAGCTGAAAATTAGTGAGAGATTGGATTAGGTATAGGAATATTCTAAATATGACTTCTTGCTATTTTTTTGTACAATAAATATACCTATTTATTACTTTCCAGATATATTTAGTTTTGTAGATTTCTGTTGTAAGTTTAGGATTTATTAACTGTAAAATATATTATTTAAACTTCAAATATAAGACTTAAAATATGGATAATTCAAATGCCTAATGGGCTGGCTACCCTATTATTTGTCAAAAATCATTCAATTGCATTTACAACTGAAACAAAAGTGAATAATTTTCATTAGACTATTTTGGTTATTGTGTTTGTATAACATATTTCTCTTTGTCCGTAATCCAGTCTCTAGATACCTAATATTGTTATGTATTCTGCAAAGATGTCATTACATACTTACATAATATAATATAATATTAATCACTAAAACTGTAGCATTTCTGTCAACTGACTTATGCAATTGTTATGTTATAAATCCTTACTGTAGATTGTGTTTGTTTAGGAACTATTCAAAAATATTCTGTGTCACAATTTATACAGGATTTGTAAGATAATTATGAATTATTGCTTATATAACACATATCTTGTTTTTGCTTCGTTTTATACAAATTAAATATACTTATTATATCAAATATCAATATTTAGAAGCAGTAAATTTTTCACACAGATTTTTCTGACCAGAAATTTATTTCAATCATATCATAATCTATGTGAAGAAATTTACAGTGCTATACAAATATTTTTAGTTCGTTTTTGCACCAATCAAGGAAAAGGTTTAACCAATTTCTGAGATATTGTTTCACATGTTTTGCAATTTGCAAGAACATGTTCAATCTGTGATATTTTTCATAATGTTCTATTGTTTTCATATTTTATTTTTATTGAATTTCATAGTAACTTTAGTGGAAATGTGCAAAGAGATATTTGCATTTTACAATATATTATCTGCTATGGTTTGTACACTTAGCACCACCCATTCCTCATACATCATAGATTAGTAACAGCAAAGGAATAAGTAACATGTTATGTTTGGTTTTGTTTGATTCCTGGCTGAACTAGATTTAGTGTTTTGTAAATAGTTTAGATAACTTCATAATTATATAAAATCATTGTGTATTTACTATTATACAAAAAAGTGTAGCTGAGATTCATTTCTGGAATATAAAAGGATGATACTGGTTAAAAAAAAGATCATTTGGATTCATGTTTATTTGGATTAGCAACATATAGAATTTTAGTGATAGTAATGTGATACATTACAAATATAAAAATAATCATGTTCACATTATAACTTTACAATGTATTCATGTTATATACATAATCATTATCATTGCTGTATAGTTATGGGTATTTCTTTGTTTAATAATAATTTCCTGATAGTTGTATAAAAAATTAAGAAATACACCTAGGAATAGAATCATTTGATGTAGAAGTACATAACACACAAACCAAAAATAGTTGTTTGGCTTAGAACTGGATTGTTAAACAGTCTTATCATGCTAAGGCATCTGCCCTCTGTAACAGCTATCTTTGGATTCAACAAGTACAAGCCATATAAAAAAGATTGTAAATATCTCTTTGATGTATTTGCATTGTGGGTTTTGTGGCAGTCAGTCTTGTCTTTGTGATTAAGGCAAATTTTGGCATGTCTGTATGAGTGTGACTCGAGATCTACTACAAAAGTAAAAGACAATTTACTATGTTTCATGTTTTGCAATTTGACATTTTCAATATCTCATATTTAGACATCCCCAGGACATTGAACATGAAACTTAAATGAATGTACTTTTGTAGTTCTTGTTGTTACCAGTAATGAATACTGAACTCTGAATGTTGAGAAGAATGATTGATGAATGATTTGTATGTATTTATATATTAGTTCATGTAACATAATATATTATATAGATATTTCTTCCAGCGATTACATGTTAACCACACATCTTCGAATATTTTGCTTGATAATATTAAACACTGTCTTTGCACATATTTTTATTACAAATATGAAACAAGTGTTTTGTATGACAATGCAACTTACAATATTGTCAAAATGGTTTTCTGTTATCGTTACTATACATTGCTTTAGTGAATAACATAGAGACTTGTGTCGCGTACTGTGTGTAGGCTATAAACTAGTTCACGGGTTGTAGTGAGGGAGTGCGTTCTACAATTATTTCATAAACGTAGTGACGTATATAGCGTTATTCGCCTGTTGCAACATGCTTGTCATTTAATAATCGGAATCTTGAGGCAGGATTTGCATGAACATTTATCCTGTTCTCTCAATATTCTGGTTTGGTTGTCCCTATGTACTTTACTTAACTAATGTTTTTCTTTATCAGGTTTGTCAGAGGTAAGATGTTTGAGCTTGTACGCGTATTATGTAGCTATTTGTGTCTTAATTTTATCATATTTTTATTGTTTTATTTTCTTTTTTGTTTCTTAAAATTTGGCCGATTTGTTTTCACATTTTGTCTGTACTGCGGTTGGAACCTGTCCAATTTTATGTTGTTGTGTAAACATATCATGTACTAATTTTAAATTGGCGCAAATTGTTGAATGTTTATCGCTACAGTAAAATTATAAATACCTGTATCTATCTACTATACCTCAAAAATGTTAATATCCGGGCGAAAATATTATAATAATACTTATAAATATAAAAGTATTCACACTATAATAATATTATTTAAATTCAAATAATGTATAGATAAAATGATACTTCGCGTCGCCGCACGTAATTTATATATATTCTGTCAGGATTTTGTATCACGTTTTCTATAGTATTACAAGGATTGTAATTAAAGAATTTATTCTCATTGTTATATTTCCCTGTAACATTTCGGTATTGGCAGAAGGTTGATAGCATAAATACATACATTGTAATGCTAAAATTAATATTACTTCTTACTTATGTAATAACTCCCTGCTTAAAACATTTTTGTACGTTAGGTATTTTATTTAAATCTTGTCTAGTGTACCAAAGTATTTATCACCTATCTTCATTAGACTGATTTTGGTTAATTTAAGTCGTGATACAATTAAAGTGTAAAAACTTTGTTATTGACTGAAGATGTTAAATCCTTGTACTAAGTGAGTTATTATCCTTCTTTACTGTTTGGAGGATCCCGTGTCCCGTTTGAGAGTGATGGAGTCTGCAGTTTTGCGAACTGCTCTATTTATTTAACTTAATAATTCCGATATCTGTGATAAAGTTTATGAATGACAATAAAAATATGGTAACAATAAAATCTGTTTCCTTTTTCCCAAAGTCTCCTGATAAAAGCGAGAGTACGACATTAGTAAAAAAATAGTAGTGGTTCGTCTTAAAAATTAGTGCAAAAAGTTAGATATGAATATATAGGGTTCACAGACACGTTTTGAGTGACACATACTTATGTTTGCCTTGTACACTACACAATTATTTACGGAAGTTAGGTGCATTAGCAGTCGTAAGGACAAATCGCGTTAAATAATCAATGAATTAGACATTCGCGCTATTATGTTATGTTGTTGGACGCGGTACCGTGCGTCAGAGTCGTGGCTGGCTTCATCACGTATGTATACAATTTATCGCTTAGCCAACCAGCTTGTATCGTGGTTTAGTTTTTGGTAAAACCTTTTGCAGTGGGCGACGGACCAAGACATTGCTAACGCCATCGCAGACATTGGCGTTACTGATTTTCAAGACGTGAAGTTCTTCGAGAATAGGGCGAATGGACAGTCGAAGGGGTTCTGCGTCATATCCCTCGGCTCTGACCAGTCCATTCGGATGGTAATGGACAGACTGCCCAAGAAAGAGATACACGGACAACATCCCGCCGTCACTTTACCCACTAAACAGGTAAGTAGGGAGGGGTAATGGTTTATCATGAATACAGAAATTGTATGATACAAATTAAATTGTTTTGGAAAATAGATAACTCGACATACTGAATTGTAAAGTTCGAGCAGCGCTTGTGTCATTCGTTGCTCAAACAATTTAATCTGTATCGTGTTTAGTGACAGTTCTCAATGCACTAGAGCAGAAATGAAAAGTACATAGTATAGCATGAATTAAATCTGAATATTACCTAAAAATACTAAATTAGTTAACTCTTACATCAAGAATGCGGCTGTAACGTTGTTATGAGCCCCGGTGTTACTTGAAAGTGTTTGAGTATCATCGATTCGTTTACGCGAGAACGCTGTGTATTGCGACAAAAATAGTTGAATAAGAGGTTAGGTATGAATACATGAGTCAGTCAGTTTGAATCTGGATAAATCTAGGAATAGAAGTGAGTTATTGAATTGCTTGAATACATTTTTATAATCTAGTTTAATGCCCCAGTTCAAATCTCAACTGTAGGTAAGCTCTGTTATTTATAAAATTAGGACGGTAGATAGGTACCTATTATTTGAATGGTTTTTTAAGTATCAATAAATGCATTATGTCCCTTTCGGCACACGAAGTTAATTCTATTTCTTATTATTTTCTGAGATTAAAAGCAAAGCGAATACAAATCTTCAGTAAACGAAGTGAAGTGTCAGCCGAAATGCGAGTTTGCTTTACGCAACTAATTGTATCAGAACAGACAAAATCTTTCCTACGCAGAATTCTGACTGCCTATCACGATCAAAACGTCTATGACATTCAGCATCGGCCTGCTCCAAGTTAATCAACCAATCAGAGGGCTAAACGCGGTAATGTAAAGTAATTCAGTACCTTTTGGCGTTGAAGTGCACTATTTCTCAAAGGGAACAATTCTGTAGGCATGATCTTGTTAATGTTTTAGCCAATAGGATACAACCAGCGTATATTTCACAGGCTTTGAACCAGTTTGAGAGTCAGTCTAAGACTAGATCGACACCACCTGGACCTAACAACCCAGGTATGAGAGGACCACATCCGGGCGGCCCGCCCGGTCCACACCCAGGAGGTAAAACTTTTCGATGGAACATAAAATATTACATAACAACAAGCCTATAACTCTCGTATTTAAGGGAGGCAAAGGCGCATTACTAACTTCGCCAGTTATGTTAGAAAACTTATTGCAACGAGCACAAATATACGAGCCGTTACTGACATGCTCCTGTTTAAAAAAACCAATGTCTTTAAAATTCTATTTCTGCTAAAAGGGCATGCAAAGAGTGCCGTGTAATAATCATTAGAATGTATTAAAATATTTGTTTTTTACTATTGAGAGTAATAAAGCTTGGTCCCTTATAAAAACGAATTTTACTAACAATACTAACATCAAAATACCAGTATATGATACTATTATACCATAGAATAAAATAAATTATAGGTAAAATATAATAGAATTTACTTTTATATTCCTTTCTTGAAGCATACAAATAGTATGTTGCTCAAACATATAATTGTGTTTATTTCCTGTAAAGTTTGAAGCAGTAGATATTAACACGAGAATGCTCATCAGATTTCTTCGGCGGTGGTCCAAACGGGCCGGGCCCCAACGGGCCACGCATGATAATGCCGGGTGGGGCGCCACACCACCAGCTGCGCGGGCCGGCGGGCGGGGCCCACGGGCCGCACGGACCGCACGGGCCTCCGCACGGCCCGCCCCATCATCTCCCGCAGCACCAGGGACCACCACCACATCATATGCAGCATCAAGGACCACCACCACATCAAGGCCCTCCACCCAGGGGACCACCTATGCAGGTTTGATTAGCTTTGTAATAGATGCTCTATTTATTGAATAACTAGACTAGCTAGTTAAATAGAAAAAAAAAACAATATCTTTATAATTAATTGATTATTGAAGTTAAAGTTAAATAATTATGTAACTCAAGAATCATAATTATCATGAGTTCTAAGTTACCATGTTATTTGAATAAAATCTAAATGTGATTGTTGAACTAGGCCATTAATTCTATTACTTTTTAAACAATTAAAATTTTGCTAGCACATATTATTATATTATACAAATATTTTTTTTAAATAGTTCCAAGGCCCACCCCAGCTACAACGCGGGCCCGGTGGTCCCGGAGGACCAGGTGGTCCTGGTGGTCGCCCAGGCCCGGACTGGGGACCTCGCGGGCCGCCCCAGCAGTTGCCCCCGCACCCACAACCACAGTACGGCCCCCCACAACATCAGATGCCACATCAAATGCCACCACCCCACCCGGTTAGTATTCAGAACTGGGAAATAAAAATGAAAGTTATGCTTCTATGATATAGTTCATTACCAGGTTATTTTTATATTACAGGGTGGTGCGGGTGGTTTGCCTCCTGGCCACGCAGGCCTGGCAGGCGTGCCCCGGGGCCCTGCGCCCCTGCCCCATCATCCAGGTATGCCCCCCTACCCAGGTACGCACTCATTCATTTTCTTTATCATTACCGCTATTAACAGTACTAACAAACTAACGATGACTTCAGAGAACAACTGGTAAACCTCTTTGAAGTTTGACAGATTTGTAAACTTCTAACTCAATAACCAGTAACAATAAAAGCAAGTTACTGTTAATAATTTGCATTTAAGATATATATTTTGCAACCAGCTATATTTGTGGCACTTTGTCTTAAAAAATCGAATAACAGTAACTTGTAATATACAGGGTGTAAAAAGACACTTAACGAAGCCGAAAGCCACGTATTCTACCCATTATTTGGATCATTTTTTTCTTTAAGAACATAGCTGGGACTCCACGGATTCTCGAGATATTGAAGGTCAAGGATGCATTTTTATTTTTTATTTTTTTGCACAATCGAATTCTAAGTATTATTACAAAACTTTTTTCCAAACAAACATTACCTGAATTTTTTCTAAATAAATTACGTATTTGAAGTTACGAACAGTAATGTACGTAATAAATAAATGCAGACCCGCACAAAAAACATCGTGCATCTCAGTAGGATTTTTATTTTACAGAATTGTTTTGTTGCTGCGAAGTAAAACGTCGACCTACGTAAGTACAGTCAGCTCCAAAAGTCGATGAACAGAATCAATTTACCAAAACACCTGTTCACAATAAAACGCCATAAGTTATAGTCGCAACTAGGAAACAAAATAGCCTGTACACGGTGGAAGTGTGCCCCGCTTGGGCAGGAAGACAGTATTTCAATAAAATAACTGTTGCTATAATCACTCTTCTTACAACTCTTGATATTACAATCACAACAATTACTAAGGATAATTAAGATTAGGTTGAATTTGAACTTAACGTCCACCGAACACGTGGCCGCGTGCGTATTCTACGAAGGTCCAACACTAATTGTCCTGTTTTACAAGAAGGCCGCCTCACCAGAGCTCGGTGTTCGCTATGGACTTGAAATAATTATGACAGTTGACAGTGAAGTTCGACATCGAAGTATAACAAAGAGGTTTTACATGCACTGATGGCCAGTGCGCCGACATATACTTTGTTAACCTAATTTTGTCTTTACCGCTGTTTAGTGACTTTTGATACAATGATGTTCAGCGACATTTGGATTGAAGGTGTACAGCGACTTTAGGAATACTATAGTGCACCGATACTTTTGAAATAGTCGTGTGTAACGACTTTTGTAAATTTCTGGTGTACAGGCTATTTTGTTTCCTAGTTGCGACTATAACTTATGGCGTTTTATTGTGAACAGGTGTTTTGGTAAGTTGATTCTGTTCATCGACTTTTGGAGCTGACTGTACGTAGGTCGACGTTTCACGGTCACAGCGTTTTAATGCTAAGCTGTGAACCTACGCACACAATGACACGAAGCCCGTTTGCTTTACATTGCGCGCAATAAAATATTTTTTTTATACCTAAAAATAAAAGTCGTTTCCCAATGATAATTTTAGCGTAAAGCTACTTAGAACTGCAGTATGCGTAGTTAACGGCTTCGTTAAGTGTCTTTTTACACCCTGTATTTACATCGAATTTCAAAATGACCTATTTTGACTATCTAAATTCCATTTCAATCATATAGTTCGTCTTAAATGTCAGAGTCCAATGTCTCTAGAAGATGTGTTTTGAACCTTTTGTTTCTTTTTATAGTGAATGTAGAATCATTTCATTACATTAAAGCTTAATTACTGTATGTTGTCTGTAATTGTCATCTGTTGTATTTAATGTTAAGTGTACTCTGTCTTCTTTATTGGAAACTTGGGTTCGATTCCTGGGTATATATAATATGTAGTAAGTCCTTAACTTATATAGGACTTCCTAGGTGTTGTGTTGTTTTATTGTCTTACGAGAAAGAAAAGGCGTAATTTTATGTTTTAACATACAAGAGAAACCAATGAGATTACTGATGGTAACTTTACTAAGATCTGGTACTTGCTACTCCAGAAATAAATTGGGGCCTATCATATATCTGGGCCAATCAGAGGTCATGTTTGGTTATTAACTGTAGTTGTCGAAATCGTTTATTGGAAAATAGACCTTTATCTATATCACTATAAGATCCTGGATCGTGACCCTACATTGGTCAGTGCCTCTAGAAGTAATGGAAGTAAGTACAGGAGTATAAAGCGTGTTATCAATTGTCCGCAGGAGTGGGCGGCGGTGCCCCAGCCCCGCACGTGAACCCCGCCTTCTTCGCACAACAACCCCCCGTGCAACCACAGCCCGCGGTACAGCCCCCGCCACAGCCTGGACCGCCTGGTAAGAACGAAGGATTCAAAAAGACTAATAATAGTAATGATACTTATAAATAATGAGTTTGTGATGAATTGATTTGTAAAGCTCAAATTTTAATGTTGTTAAGAGAGAATGTTTAGCAATGTTTAAGTCATCCTTGATATATTGTGGGTAGAAAGATACTTTATTTATATGAGGTAAGTATATTTTTAAGAGCCAGAGATTTGACAACAAGTGATTTACATTTATTTTCTTAAACAGGTATAATTATACAGTTTTTGTCTAAATTTTATCTGATTGGTCATTTAGACTTTCTGTATATGAAAAAGAATTAAAAAATGACATTGATTGTGTAGAATAGTAATTTATAATACTTAACATTTACTGTTGGAACAGGTCCAGGAGCACCGTACGGTCACCCAGCTCATGGAGCTCCACCACCGGCGCAAGGCCCACCGCCGGCTGCAAGACAGCCCTACGGAAGACCACCACAGGTAAGTTTCCAACAACTTTAATTGAACAATTAAGTTAGGGATACAACTATAATAATAATATTCTTTATTGGAACAAAAACTTTCAAAATCTTCACCAAGGAGCTATTTCCCGATGTTCACTTAGAAACTTAGACCAGGTTAAGAAATCTTGTATTTGTCACAATATCTTTTCTTAATAATTGAATTTGAAAGTTCTTATCCCATTCTATTTATAATACATGATGGGAATGTGTTTTGATTGTATTAACCATGGCTTGTTTGTCGAATAGAACTACCCGGGCGCAGGCGAGGCAGGGCGCGGCGCGCACCACGGGCCCGGCATGGGCGCCGCGCACCCCGCGCACGCGCCTCACGCCCCTCACGCCCCGCACGCGCCTCACGCTCCTCACGCGGCGCATCCCCCGCACGCCCCACACGCTGGTATCAGTGAGGCAGAGTTTGAAGAAGTCATGTCTCGCAACCGTACAGTCTCCTCTAGCGCCATCGCGCGCGCTGTCAGCGACGCTGCGGCCGGAGAATACGCATCCGCTATTGAGACTCTCGTCACCGCTATATCTCTTATCAAACAGAGCAAGGTAACCTCCAAACATACCATCTGTTTTACGTTTAACCATTTCGTAATAAATTAGAGTACTAATCAAATCATCTTTCTTTATTAACAGGTTGCCCACGACGATCGGTGCAAGATCCTAATATCATCATTGCAAGATACGCTGCATGGCGTTGAAACTAAGTCATATGGTAGTGGGGAGAGGTCGCGGCGGTCCAGGTCGCGTGACCGCGATGCGCGTGCGCATCACCGTACCCCGAGACGACGAGAGAGATCTGCCAGCAGATACCGCGATCGCAGCAGGGATCGAGAGGATCGCGACAGGTAATACAGTACCTAGTTTATACCTCAATAACAATGCAAATTGCCAGCTTATTTACCACAAAATGTCTCATGTTTCATAACAAAGCGCTATGCTGCAGATATTTTGCATAGTGCTTTAAATCAGGATGATATAATTTTAAAACGCTGCAATTTCGCTAAAGGTAGACTGACGCAGTGCAGAATTGCGTATTTTAAAGATACCTCGATGGATCATGAGAGAGAGATGTGATTCAATACCGAGAGAGGTCAGGCTACATCTAAACTTTAAAAGTGATATTCGGCTTTACATGTTATTATGCACGCAGTTTCACCTATCTACTGTTTGCAAGTACTTGCAGTGTATAAGTGTGGATGAGTAGGGCATTGTGAATAGGGTAACTAAGTAATATTTCATGACAAATTTCATTCGTTAAGTTTATTCCATTTCACCAGGTAGAAATGTCATAACATAGTCATGCATGCAATTATTATCGCAAGAGGGCCAACTAGGTAATGCGAACGTGTGACGTTCTTTGTTCCTGTCGTAGTCAGCGCTACTCCTATACTGTTAAAGTATTACTGACGCTCTGCCCTTGCTTGCAGGTACAGGGAACGGTCGAGGGAACGTGATCGTGAACGTGACCGCGATGCGTAAGTGTCGCGTTTCTTCACAAAATGCTCGCTATCATCACGCACGTTTACCTTTGGCGTGACAGTATACTAGGTTTCTCTACAAGCTGGTATTCCGTGTTCGCTTGTATTTTTTCTCGCATTATCCTTCAACTGTCATGAAGTAACGAACCAAGTAGTGAAGATTTCCATGTATGCTTGTCACGTATTACCCCTGTGTATAATGTGGTTTCATTCCGATACTCACAGCTGTTTGTTTAGTTACAATAATGTATTAATATAACCTTTGTCTTTGTTACAGGTATTACAGGGATTACCGTGAGCGTGAACGCGACAGGTCTAGGTCTAGGGAAAGGGAACGTGCCGACCATTATAACAGAGGCCACAGTCGGGAAGAGAGGTAATTATAATTAATGTTTTGTAAATCGACTATGAATTGAGATGTTTCCCCTTAATTGCTTGGTCGTCGTTTATTATAATGATATAAGGCATCAAGCATCTGTGTTATTCAATATATCAGAAAAACAAATATATTAAATGTTATTAGTCAGAAGCTGATGTATTTTAAACGAGTGCATACATAATAATTAACGGTAATTACTATTAGTTCTACCACCAGGCCGCGCAAGTCACCAGTAGAGCCGGCAGCGGAGAGCGGCGCGGGAGACGCGTCGGGGGCCAAGAGTCGGGCGGCCGGCGCGCCCTACTACGACGAGCGATACCGCGAGCGCCGCGAGAGGGAGCCACCGCCGGCAGACCGTGAGCGTGAACGCGAGCATCGCCGCGACGCGCGCCACTAGCAGGAACTGCCCTGCCCCTAACCACTCCCATACAGTTCTCTCCTTTCAAGCCATGGCTCTGACTCTGACAGTACATACGACACATTCACAGAATCAGATTCTTGTACCAAGGCGTGCTATTTATCCCTAAATACTCTTTTTGCTAATGAACAATATGAAAGCCGATTTCTATTAGAAGTGAAAATTTGCTTCATTTTGATAATTGGTCACCGTAATTTCAAGTACTACGTTGCGTATTTGTTGTCTGTGTGGTTTCAATGGACCTTTTGTGGAACAATAAGCTGACATTAAACATTTGGTATTGCGTAGAAATCCGTTACAAAAACAGGGATTTTGAGTTTTGGACAATACCAGTTTGGTATAAAACATTGTGCAACTTGATTTGTTATGACATTGTATTTGGATATTGAGCAGAATTGCTGAAACCGAGGCAATGTCTGGTTAATATTAGTCTAAAAAGCAATATGTACTGAAATTCTAAAATACTTTATAATAGTTGAATTTTAAGCAGTAGGTAACCAAAGGATTAATATTAAAATCCGTTTTTTAATAGAATAGAATATACGGCGTAATGAACTATTAACCAAATAATTTTGTTTTTTATGCAATGCAAAATGTAAATACAACTGGATGTGTAGATTGACAACATTAGAGCGACTTTGTTTGCAACATTAGATATCAATTTGTTACCAAGCCTGCATTAATTCTAAAATTATTCATTTGTTGCGCAGAAGTTAGGTAAATTGACATTCCAAAAATCCCCTGTACACTGATGATCAAACTACAAATTCTGTGTTTACACAATTCTGATTTTCAAATCCATGTGTCCCACATAAATGGAAAAGATGTAGTTTTATTATGTTCGCGTAATTTTAATTGTTTTTCACGTCATGGTTTCATTTTTAGTCATCAAGCATATTGTATAACTTTTACTTTCCCGTGGTTTTTAATCATAAAGTTTTCAATAGAGAAATCTATCAGTAACGCTAAGATTTTAGTCATGTAAGTTTTAAGATATTCTTATATGGATGTTCCATATGACTAGATTATGACACTGATTTAGTTGTTAATTAAATAAATTGATGTAATACATAAGCAAGCGTTGTTTATATTTATGAAGTCCCTACAATAATATTTATATTTATCGGTATTTTATTTATCTCTTCGTCATGGTCGTCCGTCGTCCTTATTCGTGGATCGACATCAACAAGTCGCGGAAAGACAGTGGATGTGCATAACGACTTTTCGTTCGATGGACCTAAGAGACCTCTTAGAAGGCAATGAACCTCTTCCGGCTGAAGATGATGATTATTTAGCATTTTTTTCTACACTATCCATTTTGTTTATGTTAGTAATCTAAATCCTGATTAATTTTATGGTACAATTTATGAGAAATCAAGATCAGTTTAGACTGTTTCTGACTGACATTCTATTGGAAAATGAGGAGAGTGTATGAAAATCTTAAATTAATTATTCTGTCAATTAGACACGTATTTTTATTTAAATGGGGAATATTGAGTAGATTTTTCACGTATTGATGCCACGAAAGAGAATTGAAAATGATTGTTACATGGTTATGTATTTAATTTACATAAGATATGTACCACTTACCTTTATCAATCATCTACAAATTGTACAATAAATCCCCGGTCAGTACCTATGAAATTTACTGAATCGTGACGTCACAAAATATTTCTAATCAATATGATGTGGTCGAAAGTTGATAGAAACTTGATTCCACAAAATAGTTAAAATATGCGTAATTGATTATAGTTATTTTTATCTAAAATACTGAAATTGAAATATAATTTAGCCATTAACATTAGTCATACTAATTATGGACCTACTTAACAATCTATGTACCTACTAAAATAAGTATATTATGATTATTTATGATTAATGTCTGAAGAAATTTGAAACGATCTTTTGAGTTATTGGTAAGCGTAACGTCGTGTTAACAAACAAGTACGAACAAAAAATTTTTTAAAAACTCACGGTAGGTACGTTAGAACAGTTTTATAACGTAGCAAAAATCCATATCGAGTTGAAAAGCCACGTCCAATACTGCAAATAGGAAAAGCGAGCGTGAACGCCTCACTGAACTTGCCAACAATGCTTTGAAACAAAGAGTTTCTATTGGTTCTATATACCTGCACTATTTTGCTACATAGAACCTACATAGGAAACCAGGCTACAGACAGCCTCGTTAGCCAGTCTGCAGTGCGACTTAGCAATGAAGCCTAATAGGTCTAATTAAAGTCATAAGTCAAAATCATTTATTTTAACTAAACTGTATTTAGTAGGTATACTTTTTTATGAAATAGGTGGCAAACCGGCAGACGGATCACCTGTTGGTACCTAAGTGATAGGCACCGCCCATGGACCAAAGGAGTCAAAGGCGCGTTGCCAGCCTTTTAAGAAGGAGTACGCTCATTTCTTGAAGTATTTTTAAAACGTCAAAATATGTAGAATACCTAATAGTCTGTCAGTCAGTTCGTTATTGAAGCGAGGTGATTGTTCCAAAGTGTAGAGTCGAATGGAGAAGAACGAAACAAGAAACTGTATCATTACTCCTTTAAAAAAATATCAAACAAATATGTTAAGTATAATTTATGACCCACAAGACGCCTCACCCGGTTAGAAATATCTGCATTCAGCCATCTTGCTTAATTTATTGAAAAGGCTCATTCTATCACTTAAGTGAGAGAGTCAAGCTTCGGCACCATTGGATCGGCTCGAGCGGAGTGCCACGCCATCACAGAAAACCGGCTTAAAACAACCACAGTGTTGTGTTTCTCCCTACCCTGTTTTCCTCATCAATCCTTATTCTCCAAAACCTAATCCAAAAAAGGTCGCCGATGTAGGTACTAGTAGCTCCTCTGGTGTTGCGGGTGTCCACTGGTAGGTACCATAATGATTTAGTGATAAATGGATAGTTAGGTACCTACACTAAATCTGCATTGATGCTCACATCTTCGTTTAGTTCTCTTTATAGGTAGGTACGACGTGTAAAGATCAATCAGTCAACGAAAAACAATTAAGATCAACACGTTTGATTCCATTTTCGTAAATTGTTTTCGATGATATCGGTTTGAGAGCAGATATTGAACAAATTGAATGAATGGACGATTTGCCTTGAAGGGTGATTGTTCCAAGCTTAAAAATAGCTTTGTTGTGGCAAACGTTTTCGGCAAGGACATTCAACTGTTCATAAATAGGCGGGAAAGTACCTTAATACTTTTTCATAAGAAGAGAACAATGCAAATTGAGAATTCAAAACAATTTAGATTAGAAAGTCAACAGCCGGCAGCGACGCGCATGCTGCTTATGAAGAGCTTTTTCAGTTAATTTAGATGAGTAAAGACATTTACAAGTATTTAGTCTTAAGATAGTGTGGTCAGTATTCAAAAATAGACAATTAAAAACAATTTATAGGTAAACCTCATAGTTTTGGATTGCGTTAATAAGTAGATATTTAGCACGCTACCTATCTATAGGTTAGTCTATCGTCCAATACGTCGTGAAACATAGGCTTTCTCTAACAATAACTTTTAGAAAAGATACTTGGAAACATCCTAAAAAGATAGGTAATAAGAATAAAATTCTACGCTTGTCTTAAGTAGGTACTAATAGGAAAATCATTTTATTGTGTGGCGGAGCCTAAAGGGCAGTTTCTTAAAAGGGTCATTCGGCTTAATGTACGATGGGATCTCTAATGTTAGGTTGTACCTAGATAGGTATAAACATACAATGGAACCAATATACTTACTATAGGAGTCACCCATGAACGTTAACTACTGCGCAGATTTTCATAAAATATCACTGTTACATACCAAATGTGGATGTTACTCCTAAAATAATATATTTTCTTTATGGTGTATGTCGGCAAACGAGCGGACGGATTACCTAATGGTAAGCAATCAACGTCACCCATGGATACTCTTCAGCCGGGGTTGCGGGGTAAGCGCAATGAGGTACCGCGACCTCGGCACAGAGCAGGAGAAGGAACAGGGGGGTTTTTAGTCAGTAAGAGTCTGACACTCCCTCCTGCCCGGCCCTGGGCGGGAGAAGTCATTTGATGATTTTCCCCTCACAAAAAAAAAAAAAAACCCATGGATACTCGCAACACTTAAGGAGTTACGAGTGCTTTGCCTGCCGTTTAGGGATAAGGGTTTCGGATGGTTACGGAAGGGGGAGGGATTGAGCCTTCAGTAACACTCACACGGCGTAACGCAATGCTGTGGTTGTTTCATGCCGGTTTTTAGTAAGGTCGTGGTATCACGCCGGTCGAGCTGACCCATTCGTGCCGACAGCCAAAGCTTGGTTCTTCCATACTTAATAATTCTTCGTAGCCGTTATCGGCTACGGTGACAGTTCCTTTAGTCATCTACCGGCGTCTATGACGGGCTCTCACGTGGCCGCATCATCAAAGTTGCCCTTTCATGAGATACAACTCGATGCCTCGCACTCCCTCTACCAAAACCAATGAATAAACCTAGTATTTATATACATACCTCCCAAAACGTAACCTAACCTAGGTAACCTATCTGTAGCTACATTTTATTTGCAAAAAATCCCGAACTTTCCATTCCAGTTACGAACACAGATTTGTTTTTTTGTCAGACTCGTACCTACATTAGAAAACGAACAAAATGTGTCTATGTATGTGCCACGCGCGCAGCTCTATTCAAATGGCTGGTAAATATTCAGTTCCGAAGCGAGTTACGTGAAATCCTGATATATAAGTCCTATGACGGATAAAATAGTTTTAAAACTATGTGTTTCTGATGTAAAGCGAATCTGATGTTGAGAGGAAAAATAAATTGATTTCATCGCATGGATCGCCATTGACGATATGGTTATTGACAAGAATCGGAAGTCAATCTACGGATCAGATGGGGCCGAATAGGGTCTATACTAGAGTGTAAATACTTTCTCTTACCTTACCCTGGCCGAAAGAAGGCATTTGATGATTTTTACCGTCGCTTCATTCCAGTAAGTTAGGTATTGTATCATCAAATA